GACTTCACTAGAATTGACTTGAATAAAGGTGTGATGGTGCATGCCTGTCATCCCAGAACTCAGGAGGCTGAGGCAGGAGGACTGATGGGATTCTGAGTCCAGCCTGGCTATGTAATGCATTTGAGGCCAGCTTGCACTACTTAGGAAGATCCTATTTAAAAAAAAAAGTCCTGGTAGCCTGCATGCAGTGGTGTATACCACCACGCCCAGCTACTCAGGAGGCTGGCAGCAACACTGCAAGTCTGAAGAGCAGCCTGGGATCCATGGCAAGTTGCAGGTCAGTTAGGACTGCACAATGAAATCCTTCTTCAAAAAAAAAAACAAAACACAAAAATTTGTGGGGCCTGGTGGCATATACCTGTATCCCCAGCACTTGGGAGACTAAAGCAGGAGCATCACTGAATTCAAGGCCAGCCCAAGGGCTGGGAAGATGGCTCAGTAGAATAACTGCTTCCCTAGCAAGTCAAGGATAAGGGCCTGAGTTCAATCCCCACAAAAAAAAAAAAAAAAAAAAAAAAAGGCCAGCCTAAGCTACATAGGGAGACTGTCTCAAAAAGGCAATAAATAAATAAAAGTGAGGGGGGATTTGCCACTGGAGAGAAATGCTCTTGCATGTGCAGCAGCTAGGGAACTTAAAAAAAAAAAATCTGTTTTTATATAAACAAAGGGAGAGCTGGGCATGGTGGAGCACACATATAATCCATGAATTTGGGAAATGACGCAGGAGGACCACCCCGAGCTCTAGGCCAGCCTGTGCCAGCCTGAACCACATAGCGAGAACTACACAGTGAGACCCTACCTCAATGAAACAAAAACAAAGTGAAGTTGGCTGCTTACTAAGATGGAGCTGCAGGCAGGAAGGGCTGTAAACTGAACACAGGCTGGTCTGCACACTGAAGTCAGTCAGCAGGCTGGGCAGGCCTGGCCTTCTACCTGCGTGGAGGACACAGAGGGGATACCTAAGGGCTGGCTCCCAAGTGCTGTGAATTCCCAGAATTGGCGCAGCAGAGCCTGAAGCTCCCAGCATCAGCCAGCCTGCTCCCAGCTTGAAGACACTGCCAGGAGGTTGCTGCTCCTCAGGGGACAGTGCGGGCTTGGAACTTCCTGCCAGCCCCTCTGCCAGTGCCAGGACAATGTCAGAGAGCCCAATTCCCACACAGCCCAGGGGAGGGGCTCTTGATTCACCAAGAGGAAAGAGTATTCATTTGCCAAGGAACTGGGTAGGTCAAGGTTCGAATTTCAACAGGGGTGAGCACAGTCAGCCCATGGCTCAGGAATGCCTGCTACCTAAGAGGGCACTCACTGCTCTTGGGCACGTTCTGCGGGCACAGGATGGAACAGCTAGCAAGGGTCCCAGGATGTGGGACAAACACCCTACTAGGATGGTGCTCAGAGGCCTGGAGAAGGCGACAGTGTCCTGAACCAGGTAAAAAAGCTACATGGTCATGGTGGCGGAGGGCAAAGGGTGAAATGGCTGAAGAAGACAGGCCTGCAGGGATGGCTGTGCCCACCAGCTGATGCTTCCCGGGTCACTTGGAACCAGCGTGCAGTGGTTCCACTGCACGGTAGGTGCTGGGTCATCCTCTGCAGGCAGGGCTGGTGGCAGCAAGGCAGTGGCCAAACTGGGCCTTAATGAGATCCTGGGTACAGGGGACCCTGAAGTTTCTGGGGAGACTGGAGTGCAGCCAAATGGTCTGGGCTACAGGGGCAGGGCAGGGGCTTGGAGAGCGTGGTGTCCTGGGGACAAGAGAGGACAGGACAGGCAGCCCAGGCAGCTGGCAAGGGTGCCCTTTACCACCTGCAGACAAAACAAAACAAGGTCAGAGAGGCTGGAGGCTGAGGGAGGTCACCTGGGAGAATCTCCCAGACCTGAGCTGTGTGCAGTGCAGATCTGGGACCCAGGACCAGTGCTGCCCCCGTTTCCTGCCATGACCAGCCCAGTCCTTCTTTGAGGGACCTGCAGCCACCTCACCATGTCACTGTGTCACTGAGGAGAGCTAAGGCATTCTGCAGATCAGTGTGGACATGGAAACCCAGATCAGGATCAATGGTTGTTAAAGAAGTTTCAAGGGACCAGGTATCATTGGAGTTCTGCCCCAAGTGCACCTGAGGAGGTCTCTCATTTTATAAGCACTCACAGGAATCATTTCTGTAGTCTACATATGCACAGCAGGAATCAACATACCCTACTGGTTGAGGGCTTTTGGAATAAGAGATAGAGTAGAAAACCCCATTCAAACAGGTGTGGACAATCATTGAGAATTCCAGGCCAGGGATATAGAGACCTTGTCTAAAAATAAAATAAAATAAAATAAAATAAAATAAAATAAAATAAAATAAAATAAATTCATAACAAGGATGTGGTGGTACACACTTGTAATCCCAGCATCTGGGGGGTTGAGTCCAGCCTGGGTTATATAGGAAGTTTGAGGGCAGCCTCAACTATACAGCAATGGGCTGGGGAGATCACTCAGTAGAATAAGCGCTTGCCTGGCAAGCGCAAGAGCCTGAGTCCAATCCCTGGTTCCACCAAAAAAAAAAAAAAAAAAAAAACACAAACAAACAAACAAAAAACATACAGCAGGACTCTGTCTCAAAAGAAAAAAAAATAAAAATTATTATTAATATTATGTATTTATTTATTGCCAGACAAGCACTTATTCTACTGAACCAACTCCTGGCCCCTCCAAAAGTTAAATTAAATTTTAAAAAAAAAGAACTAGTGATTAACTCTGAAATCAGTCCTCAGGAGAGAGTGCACAAAGAGAGAGCCCTCTGGAAAGAAAACAAGATAATTTTTGTGACAAAGGCTCAAGAGAGCAGAAAATGTGACCAAGAAATCACTTTCCTGCATTCAAGCAGCCTCAGCCTCGAGCTAGGGTCCCCCAGGCCAGCACTGCTTTCTCTACACCCAGATAAGCAGTGGGCCACACCTGGGTGGGAAACGGAAGTTCCTGCACTTTGAGTCCCCCTGGGCCAGCCTTCGAGGTAGCGTCCAGGACTGTAGCGCTATTTACCATCACCTATCTCCAAAGTCATTTGGTCAAACCCCGCCCTGCCAGAGCTTCAGAACCAAGGAGTCTAAGAAGGACTTGACTTGCTGAATGTGGATTCTTGGAGCCACCCCCAAAATGTAATTGATAGGGGCTGGGAGATAGCTCAGTAGGATAAGCACTTGCCTGGCAAGTGCAAGAGTCTGAGTTCAATACCTGGTTCCGCAAAAAATAAATAAATAAATAAATGAATAAATAAATAAATAAATAAATGTAATTGAGGCCATCTAGGGTGGGTCTCCATCTAGGGTGGGTCTCCTGCTTCAGATTCCTTCCAGTTCCTCAAGCACATGCCACCATACCTGAAAGCCTTGCGGAATCTGCTCAAGGGCCCTGATCTTCACACTGCAGTGCTGTGGGCAGTGGCGCTAAAGGAGCTCTGGCTCCTCAGAGGGCTCCGGGACCCATCCACTTCAGCTGCTGCTGCAGGCTCTAGCCTGAAGCGCAAGTCCTCCAGTACCCCATTCCACTCTGTGTCTTGGTGTTTAGCTTTTGCTATTCTAGTAACTAAGCCTCTCCCTTTCTACTTTTTTTTTTTTTTTTTGTGGAACTGGGGAATTTAGGCCCTTGTGCTTGCCAGGCAAGCGTTTATTCTACTGAGCTATTGCCCCAGCTCCCCTTTCTACATTATTGCTGGCTATATTTCTATTCTCCCTATATCCTTTAGTCTGTCCTGACTTTGAAGCACTCTTCCTGCCTGAGCCTCCTGAGTGCTGGGATTACAGGTATGCACCATAACATCCACGGCAATGCTGAGTTTTAAGGTTGATCTTTTTTTTTTTTTTTGGTGGAATTGGGGATTAAACTCAGGCCCTCACGCTTACTAGGGAAGCACTGATTCCACTGAGCCATCTCCCCGGCCCTCTGAGGTTGAATTTGAATATATATTTTATTTAGAGAATACCTGATTAGTTTCTGTAATAAAACTACATATCTATTTTAGCAGTGGTAAAAGCAAGCTTAAGGTAAAAAAAAGTAGCTGAGTACAATGTAAGGTTCAAAGAGAAAACAAACTTTAATGCATTTAAAAGATAAAGGCTAAGAAAAAAAAAGATAAAGACTGCTGCTGGGCATGCTGACTCACACCTGTAATCCCAGCATTTGGGAGGCTGAGGCAGGAAGATCACTGCAAGAGACCAGCCTGGTCTCCAAAGTGAGCCCAAGGCCAGCCTGAGCAACAAAGTGAGACCTATTAAAAAAAAAAAAATCAAACAAATACTGGCCTGGAATGTACCATGGTTCTCCTAGTTCAGCCTTTAGAGCTGGGATTCTAGGCACACGCCACCATACCTAGATTCAATGTTTTCCCGTGCATAATAAATCTTACAGTACAACAAACATTGTCAAATTCATAATTTTTTTGCCTAGTGAAATTCTGTATCATTTCTAATTCTTTCTTTTATATTATTATTGTGTATTCTCTTTAAAAAATATTTAAAAGCTTGGGTCTTATCCTCAACTTCTAAAAACAAAAAATACCCATCAAATTTTACAACTAACATAAAAAAAAATGCTTGAAGTTCTCATCAGAATTGGTCTAGAATTATTCTTTAATTTTTGCCTAGAATTATTCTAAAAATGTTCTGGTCACTCATTCCCAACTTGTCAGCAAGATTTTGTCACTCTGTTTTCTCTCAAATCTCATCCTTAAAAGAATGAATTGAAAAATCTAAATTTAAAAAAAAAAAAGGAGCAACAGGATTGATTTAGTAATTCAAGTGTCACCTGGTCGAGAGCACAGGGTCCGGAGGCTGATAGGACCGTAAAACTGTGCACTGTCAAACACTGAGCGGGAGGAAGTAGAGGGGAAGGGAAACAGAGCCCTGGGTAACAGGAAGTAGAGGGAGAAATTTGCCTATAAAAGGAGAAGTCCGACGCCCTCAGGTAAAAAGGTGAAAGTCTCAGAGCGCCTGGGCCCCTGGCTTTGTCTCCTGGGTGGTCTTCAAGATGTCAGACAGCAGCCGCAGAGTTGGCGAGGTGAGTCTCCCTCCTAGTAGGATTTTTCTGCTCACTGAGTGCTCTCCGGCCTTTCTGGGTCCCTTACTTGGTGTTTTTGCTACCAGTCAAGTTCTGGGTACAAGAAATCTCCTTCTTGGAGCCTCTTCCACACACTGATTGCGGCTTCTCCTTTTCAAGCTTCACACTCTGCCTGCGGTTGGGTAAGAGGAAAGAAAATGATTTTCCATCTCTCGTCCGAAGAAAACTGTTTATGTTCGTGAGAAAAGAAGGGTTGTCACTGGGCAAGAGATGAAATCTAAAAGAAATGAAGCACTCAAGTTTAAAAAGAAAAGAAATGGGTACCGTGGAGAAAGCTAGATGCAAATAACTGGGTTGATGGTTTTTTCTCTCCAAGAAAAAAAAGTGAAAAACTCCCACTCTCCTGGCTCCCAGTGGGTTTTGGGGCGGGGCTGGAGCAATCCTGGACGAGATGAGGTGGGAAAACCGTGCATTTACGGGATTTACTCCCCAGGGCAGAGCAGGGCTCCAGCCGCGCCAGTCGCGTGGTGGCTACCAGCTGGCGCTGCCTCCGGAGCCAGGGGGATCGGTGTGGCCAAGCTTGGGGAAAGTGACATACAAATGCAGAAACCACTAACTGCAGCTAAGAGTCAGCGGGTAATGGGAGCCATTGAATTTAAATTGGGGCCGGGGAGGGCGTGGCCGCGGCCTCCGGAGAGGTCACAATGGGCCGGGAAGGGGTTTTCACCTAAGGGGGCGAACTCAGCTCCGGGCCGCACTCCCAGGCCTCTCTTACCTCGTTAGGCCTAGAGTTTTGGTGCGTAGAACAGGCAAGCAGATTGCTACAAGCAGACTGAGGGATACGGAAAGTGCCAGCCAGTGTGGGTTCCGGCCTCCACCTGCGCTCCGCACTGCCTTTGCGCAGTGCGCTAACCTCGCGCCGGCAGAGCCCTCGCCTGGCGCGCCCAGGGCCTGGGCTCCACCGCTGACAGCACAGGGCAATCAGCAGAACACAGCCCAGACCCCAAAGGCTGCCTGCCCCTCGGTGTGGGGGCTGCGTAATTCCGCTGAAGGACCAGTCAACCCGAAGAGTCAGTCGTGCTGCGCTCCCAGGCCAGGCCTGCTCAGGCATTTGCAGGCCCACCGTGGGGGCTTACTTTTGGCTTTAACCTGAGCGGCTCCGGAGGGTTCTCAGCAAGTAGGGTTCGGCCTACAGATGGGGAAGTCAGAGGTGTGCGGATGCGGAGGGCTGCTGCTTGTGCGGTGGGCTTCACCCCCGTTTAGGCAGGCGTCTTGTAGAAGTCGGAAGGGCGAGAAAGAACATTTTGGATGCAGATTCAGAGCCGGGAAAGTACTTGTTCTAGCTCCGGTAGAGGTGGGGAAAGTTCCGATTTCAAACCCTTTCTTCCGTTTTCTCTTTCACCACACACTTGTAAATTGGTTTTTGCTGGTTCCCTCATTATTCCCTTTAGTTAAGAGTTCTGCTAATCACATCGCGCTCGCTCACAGGATCTCAGTGCTTTTCCATCCACAGGCCTCACCTCTGCATTCCTTGGCTGTGCCGGGAAAGCGAGCTGTCGGCCGGGGGTGCAGCTCAGGGGCTTGTAAATTCCCGGTACCCAAAAAAAGAAAGAGAGCAGTTACTGGAGTCAAACTATCTGTGACTGCCTTCTCTTTTCAGAACGGCTTAGAGGAGGATGGAGATGAGGAAAATGTCATTTTAACTCTGGTTCCAATCACAGAGGAAGACAATCTGCGAATGGAGCCAGATGTTTCATCAACTGCAGGACTCGCACCTATGAGTCTCGGGGAGACCGATACCGGTACGGGAACAGACCGCGGGTTAGCAGCTCTGGAGAAGTAAAGTTCTTCTCTGTTCTCTTTAACTATACAACCTTAAATCTCACCTGTTACTTGTGCTAATAGCTCTCAGATTAGGGGAACTGCCTTGCTTTAAAGATGCAAACTAGGCCAGTGTCACTCTGGACAGCGCTTTTTTGTATTTCAGGGAAGGGCCTACAGGGTGTTCTGGGTCTCACTACTAGATTGAACTCCTAGTGATCCACCCGTTTACAGCTCCCAAAAACTGGTATTACAGGCATGCACTACCACGCCCAGTCTCAATTGCCATCTCATCATGCCTTAGGGGTGGGGCTGGCATGGCTGGCCCAGGCCAGGGTTCAATCCCTCCCCCCACCATGCTTGCAGGCACTTCAATCCACGGACCTATTGGGCTGGCCCTTAGACAGCATTTCTATGGGGCAGCAGAGGGCAGTTCCACAATTCACAGCCCACAGAGCCCCAGCTCTTCCTGGAAAACTGAATGGGGTGGTGGTACCTCTTAGCAATAGAGCAATGGCTTAACATGCACAGGACCCCATGTTCAATTCCCAGCAGTGGGGAAAAAGGAAGGCTTGTCTTTTGGGGGGTTTTAGTGGTTTTTTTTTTTTTTTTTTAGAAAGAGGCTCACTATACAGTTCAGGCCCTGAGCTCACTACATAGATCAGCTCAGGCTGGCCTTGAATTGGCCTGGAGTTGGCAGCAATTCCTCTGCCTCAGCCTCTTGTACAAGATGTCCACATTTCTTGAACTATTGGGCTCTACTTCAGCCTCCTTCCTGTTAGGATTATAGGCATGCCAGTATGACTAGAATTACAGGTGTGCCAGGATTACCAAGCCTGGCCCATTGGGAAAGAAAAGGCTAATACACATTTGCCTCTTATTAAGATTAAGTGGGGTGTTTTCTTGTTTGCTTTGCTTTTTCCTTTTATGTATTTGGAACAAGTTCTCACTGTGCAACTCAGACAGTGATCCTCCTGTTTTCAACCTCCCCAGGGCAGGGATTGTAGGCATGTGCCCACACTGGGACTCAGTCACTGGCTCAGTGCGTGGGGGGGGGGCAGCATGACTTGCCAAGAATCAAACCCCAGTCCCTGCACCTGTCTAAGCAGGCGTTTAGTCCACTGAGCTATTTCCCTGGCCCTTAGGTGATTTTTTTTAAAAAGGTGTTGTTTTTGCTTGGTGAGTTATCACTGATAAATATCTGCAAGCCCTCAAAAATCATAGTACAGGACCCAGTATCTCTCCTCAGAGATGACTTTCTATGACTTCATAGGAAGATGTCAAATAAATTTAATTTTCTGGTTGAGAAGAGACTGCAAGAGGAAGTAAATAGTGATGGATTAGAGTGAATCAAAATAAGGAGAGCTGCTAAGAAGTGGAAGAGCATTGTCAGCTTGTGGAAGGTTTAGGGATGGTATCTTTGATTTTCATAGGAGTAGCTGATATTTGTGTTTCAAAGTTTAGACACTTTATTGGATAAATAAATACCATATAAGGCTCTATACAAGTTGTTGCTGGACTGGAGATACACTTCAGTGACACAGGTGCCCAGCAAGTGCGAGGTCCTGAGTTCGAGTCTCAGTACACACACACAAAAGACCTAAGTTATTGCCAAAAAAAAAAAAAAAAGGTGTATGTGATATCTAAAAAAAAATAGTTTGGGATCTAAGCACAGGTTTGAGTCCCCAATTTGTCTTTTTAGGGGCGATGCTATCTTGGGCAAGTCTCTTAATTTGTGGATCTGTTGTCTTATTTCTAATAGGAGTAAGAAAATGATATGCCGGTCTACTGGTTTGTGAGAGCAGCTTTGTGAAATGGTAAAAGAACTGCGCAGACCTTAACTGACTGACAGCTGCTTTTGGTCCACTCTTTTCTCAGCTCACCTTCCACAAAAGAAGGAAGAGCTCAGACCTAAGGGCAAAGCGGTGGTGCCCCCCTTGCCGACCGTCCTGCCTCCGGTGACCGAGGTGGCCCGGGACACCCTGCGGAGCTGGTGCCAGCAGTTCAACTTGAGCACGGACGGCCAGGTGTGTACGGATGGCCAGGTGCGTACCGACGCACCCGTGCAACACTGCTGTTTGAACGAGCGCGGCGCCGTTGCCCCTTGTAACCCCTCTTTTCCTTTCAATTTCCATAGAAAATCGAGGTCTACTTGCGGCTACAGAAGCACGCGTACCCCCAACAGGAATGTGTGAGTTTCAGGGGATGGCGCTGCGGGGGTGGCTGGCATTGTGGGGTGCCCTTCTCTGCTTATATCTCCATAGGTGCTGGCTCTAAGGCAGGGTTTCTTTTACTTCTATTCCCTTTTCTTTGAGAGATGTATTATTCTGTGGTCCTGGGGATGGAAGCCAGCTCTTTGAACTGAGCTAGGCCCTGGGATACAACCACTGGAATTTCTCCCGGCTGAGAACCAGCGCTCTGAGAAGGCAGCGCTTCTAACCCTTGCACCGTGATGCGCACAGCCGGGTCTGTGTAAAGGATGGCGAGACAGACACCAAAGTCAGAAATCACACTGCTGGGGGCCTGCCCCGTAGCTCAGTTCTTTAAGTGGCTGCCTCAACAAAGCAGTCAGGCTCAGGTTGCGGTGGCTCCATCCCTACAACTCAAGCCAGCCAAACCTGCCCTGAAGGCATTCGGAGCAAAAACAAAACAAAACAAAACAAAACAAAACAAAAAAAAAAAAAAAAAAAAAAAAACCAAAGAAAAACGAAAGAAAGAAAGAAAAGAAAAGAAAGAAATCACACTGCTTACAATTTTCATCTGCAGGAAGTGCCTGGGACATCCAAGGAGGCCAAACTGCAGCGAAGCTTCAGGAAACGCAGGGCGAGGACCAAGAGAATGAAAGACCTGGTGGAAGGGCTGGAGAGGAGTTTGAAAGAGGAGGAGGCCAATGTGGTCGAAGTGGTGACTTCCGCTCAGGCGTCCATGCTGGCGGCTTGGGCACGCATAGCGGCGAGAGCTGGTCGGCCCAGAGCTGTGACTTCCTGTCCCATTCCCAGTGATGTGGAGGCCTTCTTGCCACAAGCCCTTGGTAAGATGGACCTGAGGGTGTGACCTCTTTAGAGTAATGAGGCCAGTGTTTATTAGAACAAGGCTGAAAAGTAATAAAAGTGGAGGAGTTAGTTAACATATTCGTGGATTGGAATTTGAGTTTCCAAAGGGTTTATTTCTTCCTTGGTCATGAATAGCCAAGTTCTGGTTTTATTTATTTGCTTACATATTTTGCAGAACCAGGGATTGAACTCAGACCCTTGTGCTTGCCAGGCAAGCGCTTATTCTACTGAGCTATCTCCCCAGCTCCCATTTTATTTTTTTCTTTCTTTTTTTTTTCCCCCTATTTTATTTTTAAAATATATTTAGTACGGGATCTTACTACACAGATTGGACTCGTAGTGATGCTCATGTTTTCAGCCTCCCAAGCATTAGGATTATAAGCGCACCACCACACCATCTCAATCACTGTCTCAGCACACCCCAGGGGTAGGGCTGGCTAGCATGCTATGGATCTGTGTCTGCCTAAGTAGGCGCTTTAATCCACTGAGCTATCTCGCAGTCCCCTAAATTTTGATTTTCTGAGACAGGGTCTCACTGTGTAGTTCAGGCTGGCCTCAAAACTCAGGGAGATCTTCCTGCTTCTGCCTCCTGTGTACTGACATCACAGGCATGCACTGCCACACCTGGCTCAAATAGCCAAGTTTTGGTGGGATGGGTCCTTATGCCAGCAGGTTGAGTGTGGACCCTTTATCATCTCTAAATAGAATTGCCAGCTGGGAAGCCAGCATAACCTAATATTGTAGCCAGGCAGTGTGTTGGATGCCTGTAATCTCAGCACTCAGGAGTTTGAGGCTAGTCTGGACTATGTTAGGAGTTTTGTGACAGCCTGAACTGGCTAGCAAGACCCTGTCTCAAACATTAATAACACGACAGTTGGTTATTACCTGAGGTCTTCTCTCTTCCTTAAAGGTATTCGCAAATATACCCAGGTGTGGTGGTCAACACCTGTAATCCCAGAACCTAGGAAGCTGATTAAGGATTGCCATGAGTTCAAGTCCAGCCTAAACTACACAGTAATATCCTACCTAAAAAAAAAAAAAAAAAAAATCCAGGGGCCGGGGAGATGGCTCAGTGGAGTAAGCGCTTCCCTGGCAAGCACAAGGACCTGAGTTCAATCCCCAGTTCCACAAAAAAAAAAAAAAAAAAAATTCAGAGCCAGTGATACAGCTCAGTGGCACAGTGCCTACCTGGTAAGCACAAGGTCCTGAGTTTGATTCCTGGTACAAAAAAAGGAAGGAAAACAAAAAGATTTCTCAGGACATAGATCCCAAATCAAACCTCCCCCACCCCTTTTCTTTCTTTCTTTTTTTTTTTAATATTTATTTATTTATTTATTTGTGTGTGTGGCCAGCTCAGCCCACCAGGGGGCGGGGCTGACTGGCATGTGGTGCTGGGGAATTGAACCGCGGTCCCTTGTACTTTGCTGAGCTTGTTCTAAGTAGGTGCTTTAGACCACTGAGCCATCTCACCAGCCCCCACCCCCCACCCCTTTTCTGATGTTGGGGATTTTGTTTTGTTTGAGACTGTATAGTTCAGGCTGACCTTGGTCTCTTGGTGATCCTCCTGCCCCAGCCTCTGAAGTGCTGGGATCCCAGGCATGACCGCCATACCTACATCATGCTCAGCAGTGAGTCCCGGTCCCACCCATGGTAGAAAGCACTGCTCTGCCAAGCTACACCCAGCCCCTGGGCTGGGGAATGCTGTGCAGCTACTTAGGCAAATGAGCTAGGTCCCAGTGCTGCAACTGTCTTGGCCCTGGGAAAGGGACATTTGTTACCTCCTCTATAAATAAGAAAAGCAGGAAGCTGGGGATGTACCACAGTGGCCCAGCACTAACCTAGCCCTGTGTTCTACTCTTTCACTAGAAAAGAGGCGGGGATGAATATATTTAAGAAGTGTGCTTAGGGCCGGGGAGATGGCTCAGTAGAATAAGCACTTGCCTAGCAAGCGCAAGGGTCTGAGTTTAATCCCCGGTTCTGCCAAAAAAAAAAAAAAAAAGAAGTGTGCTTGTGTAGGACTTCCAGAAGTTAGCAGAAATCCTGGACCCAAAACAAAGTAAGCATTCTGAAAAGGCAGCAGTTGCTTCTCTTGTGCTGCGTGGTCTGTACAGCTGGGTCACAACAACTTTAGTCCACATCTTCAGCACCTCAGTGGATTTGCTAGCAGGATACGAATGCATATTTGAGAGTGCCTGCTAGGGCTGCCGTGGAGAGCTGTCTCCATCCTGCTGTTTACCTCTTTCTCTGTCCCTTCCCCAGGTGGCAGATGGTGTGTGGTCCACGGCCAGCTTCGTGCTGCAGATGTGGCGGGCTGGGTTCGCCTGCAGTTCTGCGCAGGTGACACCTGGGTCCCTGACACTCCTAGGAGAATGACCTCCTTCACTCTACTACCAGCCTGCATCTTCCCATCCCCAGGAACAGAAGATAACCTGCTATGTCCTGAGTGTGTTCAGAGGTAATGTGTTCTGTCCTGACTTCTTAAGCAGGGCACATGTCAGATACTCTCTTGGGGACAAAAAAAAAGAAGCCCATGAAGCACAATCATGGAACCCAACCACAGCAAGCTAAGAAAACCACTGGACAGTGACTACCAGAGGAGCCCAGGGGCACTTCAGGAGCGGTCCCATGGGCTGAGCATGCAGTGAAGTCCTAACCTGCCCCTTAAATAAAAAGATCCACTGTAAACATGGAAATAAGGGATCGAGACACTTTTTTTTTGAGACACTTTAAAGCAAACTTTACAGAGCAAAATGCAAGATAACAGGAAAAAGATGTCATGGTGAACACCTATAATCCTAGCATTCAGGGGAAGCTGAAGCAGGAGGATCCCCACAAATTCATGGCCAGCCTGGGTTACATGGCAAGACCCTGTCTCAAACAAAACCACAACAGAATCCAGAATAAAGCCTAGCTAAGAAACAAGCACCCCCCAAGGTCATTAGCATACAAACTGCAGGCTTGAGTGTAAGAACTGCTACTGCCTGCCAAACCCTGAGAATAGTGTCTTAGTGGAACACTGGGACTCCGACAACATGCACAGATGCTGGGAGCTGGGGAGCAGGGGAAGGTGCAGCTGTGGGTGGAGGCACGGCGGGGGCAGCAGGCGGACTTCAGGACAGACCTGGCTGGGCACTATCCTGCGAGGCAGTGAGGTCCATGGCCCTGAGACTGGCAGGACATCCTGCGGCTCTTGTGTGTGGTTTGAGACCGGCCATCAGCAGCCTGCTCAAGCTTGGCCTTGAGCTTGAATCTTTGAATGTCAGGCTCCCTGAGTGCTGCAGCGACAGGCATTGTACCTTTGAGAGTATGTAGAAAGGGACAACAGAAGTAAACAATTTTGCTGCACTTTTTAAATTGAGCATGTGAAGAGTTTGCCAACAGGACATTTTGATATTTTTTTTCTTTCTTGGAAGTGGGATCTTACTGTATAGTTCAGGCTGGCCTCAAACTCCTGACCATCCTCCTGCCTCAGCCTTAATTTGTCCCCTCTTCCCTATTTTTTCTCCCTTTCTCATCTCACTTTAATTTCAGTTACTTTTTTTGTTTGTTATGGCAGAACTGGGGATTGAACTCAGGCCCCTGCGCTTGCCAGGGAAGCACCTATTCTGCTGAGCCATCTCCCCGGCCCAGAAATAGATTTCCTTTTTTAAATGTCTACAGGGTCTCACTACACAGATCCAACTGATAGTGATCCTCTTTTTTTTTTTTTTTTTTTTTTTTTTTTTTTTTGTGGAACCGGGGTTTGAACTCAGGCCCTTGCGCTTGCCAGGGAAGTGCTTATTCCACTGAGCCATCTCTCTGGTCCCTCAGTTACTTTTTTTTTTTTTTTTTTGGCAGAACTGGGGATTGAACTCAGGGCCTTGCACTTGCCAGGCAAGCACTTATTCCACTGAGCCATCTCCCCGGCCCTGATTTCAGTTACTTTGTCATATTGGGTACTGAACATGGAGCCTTGGCACTGAGCTATATGTTCATCCTTTTTTACATTTTTCTTGAGGCAGGGTCTTGCTCTGCAGCCCATGCTGACCTTGAACTAGATGGCAATTGCCCCCTGCATCAGCCTCCTGAGTGTATTTTATTTTTTTGAGAGAGGAGCTTGCTGAATATAGGTTGCCCTAGGCCTGGCCAAACCTGTGTTCCTCTTGCATTGGGCTTCTCGGGTGGTGGGAGTATAGGCATGCAACACCATGCCTGGTTCCCTGTCCATCCCTTTTGTTTTGAAATTATGAGGGTCTCTCAGATGCAGGCTGGCATCAAACTTTTATCCTCTTGCCTCAGCCTCCCAGGGTGCCAGGATTACAGGTCTGCACCCCACACCTAGCTTCTATTTCTCTTTTTTTTTTTTTTTTTTTGTCCTTTTTGAGATAAGGTCTCACTATACAGTTCAGGCTGGCCTTGAGTTTACTTTGTAGACCAGGCTGGTCTTTGAACTCACAACGATCTTCCTGCCTCAGCTTCCCCAGTGCTGGGATTATAGGCATGCACCACCATGCCTGGCCCATTTCTTTTTTTCCTTCTGTATTAAGGACAGGGTCTCTCACTATGTAGATCACGCTTGTAGTGATTCTCCTGTGTTCAGCCTCCCAACTGCTGGGATTACAGGCTCACACCACCATGCCCAGTCTCAATTGCTGTCTTAGTGCACCCCAGGGGTGGGGCTGGCATGGCACACCAGGGATCCAACCCTAGTCACTGCACTCTGCCTAAGCAGGTGCTTTAGTCCACTGAGCTATCTGGCCAACCCATAATATTTATTTTTTGTTTCGTTTTTGCAGTACTGGGGATTGAACTCAGGACCCTGTGCTTGTGAGGCAGGTGCTTATCCTACTGAGCTACCTCCCCAGCCCAGGTCCATTTATTTTAATGAGTGAATCAGAAGCATTTGTAGGTGAGGAGCTGTGAGAAGTGCAAGGAAAGCTGAAGTGAGGCTGGGAGGCCCGAGAACAAGCGGACAGTCGTGTACCTTTGCTTATGACGCCGTCCTTTGCTGTAGCTATAGGCAGCTGACAAACCGCCTCAGCACTCTTAACAGATCCTTTATGGGATTTTGGAAGGATTTGGTGTGGAGTGGTTTATCACACTAGTAACCTTTTACATCTATGTTTATCTGATTTGTCTCCTAGGAATAAGAAGGTGATGAGGAAAATAATTATGGGAGAGAAGATGAGACATCCTGTAGGAGACCAAAACATGCCCCCTTAGTCACTGGTGGAAGTGTCACTGTGATCTGAAGGTGACTGAGAACTGAACAAGAAGCTTTCCGCCTTCCCATTCTTGTCTAAAACTCGGGACATAAGTACACTCACGTCTCCTGCCATCTCTACCAGGGTACAGGGAGTGGAGCCCCTAGGGCGTGCAGCAGTGCTGCCATGCAGATGGGACCCTGGTGTCTCTGGCGTCCCTTGGGACCAAGAGCCAGGCTTCTTAAGTACTTATGATACAGGAACAACTTGCTTTGCTTTTGTTGTGATTAATATATTAACATATATACAGATAGATATATATGGGGTTTTTGTTTGCTTTTGTTTTTGTTTTTTTGAGACAGGGTCTTACACAGTGCTGGCCAGTCATGAACTCACTATGCAGATGAGGCTGTCCTTGAACTTGCAGTGATCTCCAGCCTCAGCCTCTAATGCTGAATTCCAGGTGTGCACTACCGCCTGGCTCTGTTCTAAGTAATAGATTTTAGAGCAGGATAGGTTTGCAGGGAAGTTGAGCAGGAGTGTGTGTGGCTCATGTCATGTCATGTTTCATTCTTTCTTGTCCACAGTACCAGGGATTAGGGATTAGGCTCAGGGGCACCTGATACGGTGTTTGGGCATATATATATATATGTATATATATAATGTAGTACAGTGTCATCATAGACCTGAACTTGTGGTGATCCTGTTTTCAGCCTCCGAGGTGTTGGGGTCATTGGTGCGCACCACCATGCCCATATTTCAGCCTCGCCATGGGAGCAGGGCCAGCCTTGCGTGGCAGGAGGATCAAGCCCTGGTCCCTGCATCTGCTTAAGTAGGCACTTCAATCCACTGAGCTATCTGGCTGGGCTGGCCCTTGGGCCTTTTTTGAAACATTGTTTTGGGCTGGGGATATAGCTCCATGGTATAGTGTTTGCCTGGCAAGCACAGGTCTTGAGTTTGATTTCCAGCACTCTAAAAAAAAAAAAAAATCTTCATTAAAAGAGGATTTTAAAAACATTGCCAGGGGCCAGGGAGATGGCTCAGTAGAATAAATGCTTGCCTGGCAAGTGCAAGGGCCTGAGTTCAGTCCCCGGTTCCGCCAAAAATTAAATAAATAAATAAATAAATACATTGCCAGGTGTGGTGGCGTGTCTACAGCTATACACCCACCCCTCGGAAGGCTGAGGCTGGAGGATCACTGCAAACCCAAAACCAGTCTGTGTGACAGTGCGCTAAAGTTCAGGACCAGCCTGAACTACATAGTAAACCACATCTCAAATGAAATAAATATTTTTTGAGGCAGCATCTCATCGAGTAGCCAAGGCTGCCTTTGAGCCTGTGATTTTTCTGACCTAGTCACCCAAGTAGCTCAGATTGTAGGCATGAACCTCTGGGTCTAGCCATTCTGTGGGGGTTGACGAATACTTGATGCATTCAATGTAGTATAAGCTTCACTGCCCTGAGCCTCCGTGCTGCTCTGTCTAGATGCCCTCCCACTCCTGAGAAGACCTAGCATCTCCATGACTTTGCTTCCCTACAATGCCAAGTACGTGGAATGTAGCTTTTCTACAGCTTTGACCCAGTGAAGTTCGCTTCTGCTGTGAAGACGATCCTGCAACTTCGTCCAGGATAGCTCTGTATCTTCAGTCCTGCAGCTCCCCTGCCTCCTGCTGGGGCTCCAAGGGAGCACCCCACACTTGGCTGGGCCTCTTTGAAAAGCAATTAGTTTTAGTGCTGGCTAATAGTCCACTGGCAAGCTGTTCCGGGGCATGTATTCACTTAACCTCCTGAAGGACCCTCAGGTTGTTTCCCCATTTTGGCAATTCTGAATACAACTGCTATAAAGTTGAGAGGCTGAGATAGCAAGACCAGCCTAAACTAGTGAGATCCTGTCTTGAAAAGTGAATGGACAAATAAATACTGCTCTACAAATCTGTGTACCTGTTTTGGGTGGGGAGAGGGGGGCATATAAACTTAAGTAAATGCCAAGAAGTACAGATTGCTGGTCACACAATGGAAGTACATTTATTTTTGTTAGAAATTGTTCAATTTTCTCACAAAGTTATTGCCAGGGAAGCCAGAAAGATGGCTCAGAGGCTTAAGCGTCTGTCAAGCTTAAGTGTGTGAGGCTTCAGCTTTGACCCAGGCTCCACAAAAAGCAAAATGAGTTTTTTTTCTTCTCTGTCCTTGTCTGCACTTGCTGTTGCCATCCTAGCGTGTGTGTCACCATTCTCATTGTTTTTAGTTTTCAATTCTTTAATGGCATGCAGTGTGGAAGAAGACTTTTAGCTAGTTCCTCAGACAAAGGACTAATATCTAGAACATAAAGAGTTGAAAAATCAAATTCTGTAGATTAAGTCAGTCCAAAAGTGGACACTGGAGATGAATATAGACTTCTCAAGTGAAATAAAAATGATAAATATGTGAAAAGATGTTCAACATAATTGGTTATTTGAGAAATGCAAGTTAGCACCCCAGAAAGAATGGCTGTCCTCAAGAAGTCAAATGCTTTAGGGGCTATGGGGAGAAAGGAACTCTTCACTGTTGGTGGGAATGGAGGCTGGTATAACCACTACAGAAATCAGTATGGTGGGGCCAGGGAGATGGCTCAGTGGAATAAGCACTTCCCTGGCAAACGCAAGGGCCTGAGTTCAATCCCTAGTTCTGGAAAAAAAAAAAAAATCAGTATGGAGACTGACTCAAGAAACTAGAGGTCCAGGGCTAGTGAGATGACTTAGTGGTCTAAAGCACCTACTTAGAACAAGCTTAGCTAAAGCATAGGTACCGCGGTTCAATCCCCCAGCTCCACATGCCAGCCAGCCCTGCCCCCTGGTGGGCTGAGCTGGCCACACACAAATAAAATTTAAAAAAAAAAAAAAAAGAAACTAGAGGTCCATTCAACCCGGCTATTCTGCTTTTGGTTATTTTTTTTTTCTCCTTGTACTAGGGATCAAACTCAGGACCTTATGCTTGCCAGGCAGGCACTTATGCCACTGAGCTATCTCCCTAGCCTGATCCTATCCTTCAAAACTCAATGTATATTGCTAGAAGGCTCTCTTCACTTGTGTTTATAATGTAAGTGTTTCTTCTAGGTGCTACAGGAGGGACCCTTCCAGACCCCACAACAGAGGGTGCAGGAGGAGGGAATGACCTGCAAGGCAAAGTCATAAGGATTTTACAGTGAAAGAGGTCTGCTGCCCAGGCCAGCTCCAAACAGAAGGACCCTTTTCAGGCCTAAAAAGATGCTCAAAGAAGCCCAGTGTGGTACATGCCTGTAATCCCAGCTTAGGAGGCTGAGGCAAAAAGACTACTGAGTGAGACCAGCCTGGACTACAAAGTGAGCTCAAGGCCAGCTTGAACTATATAGTGAAACCCTGTCTCAAAAAGACTAAAAAAATTTTTTTGAAGTAATAAAAGACATTGAAAGAAAGCACTGCAACTGGTCTTCTACTTCTGTGCTTCTTTACCCATGTGGCACTGGAGAGTAAACCCAGCTGCTTGCATGCGCTAAGCAGGCAGGGGCTCCACTGCCAGCCCCCATCTCTCTTTGCTCTTTTTTGTAGAGTAGGAGGTGTCCCAGACATCCAACCCTCATGCTAAGCATCACACTACACCCCAGGCAGGTTTTACATTTGTTCATTTGAGATGTGTTAAGGGTCTTTCAAATGGACTCCTGATAGTGCAGAGAGACTGGAGTACTGCCCACCCTCAGTATGGGCCAGCCCCGGACAAGAGAGCAGCACTGTGGCAGGAGAGAAAGGGCCATGTGGATGGATCTGCTTGGGCTTTGCACTAAGAATAACACTTTGCCAGTAACTTCTGCCTGCAAGGGCTGTTAGGAGTTGGTGGACCCCATGGAAAACTAGATCCGGGGCTGGCTCTTGCATCACTGTGCTCGTGGTAGGGAAGATCAAATTTATCTACCAAGCAGTGCTGGCCAGATAGCTCAGCAGACTAAAGTGCGTGCATAGGCAGAGCGCAACAGCCAGGTTCCATCCCTGGTTTGCAGTGCCGGCCCTGGCCCCTGGACACCTTGAGACAGAGATTGAAACAGCATGGTGGCATGTACCTGTAATCCCAGCACTTGGGAGGCTGAACACAGGAAGATCATTACGAGTCCAATCTACACAGTGAGGGCCTGTACACCCTGTCCTAAATACAAAAAAAATATAAAATATATAGACAGAGCCAGGCATGTGGCCACACACTCTAAGAATCATCCTAGAATTCTTAAGAGGCCGAGGCAGGAGGGCCATAAATTTGAGATTAGCCTGTGTGATTTTATTTATTTATTTAGTATTTTTTAGGGAAGGATCTACAGGGTGTTCAGGGTCTCACTACTAGATGGACTCACAGTGATCTGCCTGTTTACAGCCTCCCAAGAGCTGGGATTACAGGTATGGGCCACAAGGCCCAGTCTCAGTTGCCATCTCAGTGCACCCCAGGGGTGGGGCCGGCACAGCAGGTCCAGGATCAAGCTCTTGGCCCCTGTGTCTGCCTAAGCAGGCGCTTTAATCCACTGAGCTATTTGGCCAGCCCTCAAGTCTATATTTATATCACTCTGTCTTAAATCTAATAGATAGCATGTTCTTAATGATGTATTACTGAATCAATGCATTTGAAATATTTGTCTTTCTATAGGTAAAAACACAGACCATTATAAGCACTATAGCAATAAGATTGCTTTCAAGTCTCTGACAAATATTTAAGAAAATTCAGGTTAGAAAGAAACTAAGTGAATGAAGATACTGGTGGATGAGAATTATTAGAGCTCATTTACATCGTTAATGTATTTGGAGGGAATATATCATATTTTAATTTTAAGGGGGAAAGCTCACAATGTGCTATTTTTAAAAACACTATAAACATTTAAAGGAGATAAAAATAATATTTAAAGATGGAGCTAGAAACATGGTCTGTGGTAGAACACATACCTACATAGCACGTGCGAGGTCCTGGGTCCAATCTTCAGTTCCACAAAAACAAAGAAACAAATATTTAAAATGAGAAAAATTACCA